TCAAATGCTCTAAAAAAGAGGAGCAGAAGTGCAACAACTGGAAGCATCGATCCTATGGAGAGGGGACCACAAGTGAGGACAAGTGTTTCAATCCACATGGAGGATAGTAGCATTGCACGTGAAGTAGCTGAGATGTAGAAAGCCTTGGAGACACTCAATCAGAGGCTTGTTAGAGAAAGTACAGAAAATCTAAATAATCACAACAGTGTTGGAAGAACTGAGATAGTATACAATGTCAGTGTTCAATTCCTTAAATTTATTTGGCTTTGTTGCAAAATTTTAATTAAATAGTTACATTTTATTTGTTGTTATATTGGATCCAGGCAAGAAGTGCAGAAGCAACAATTGGGTACACCAAAAAGCCTATTATGTGGAGAGGAAATCGTACTGTCACATCTTCTAAATCCAGCTCTTGAGAGATATAAGAGCTTCCCAAAGGGTAAAGGCAAAGAGAAAACCATAGTTGTTATAGCTACTTAGTGAAGAAGTCCACAAACAAGTGCTTTTTGTTTTAGTTTAGGAGAATAATAATCAAATGAATATTTTTTTTTTTTTTTTTTTTTTTTTTTTTTTTTTTTTTTTTTTTTTTTTTTTTTTTTTTTTTTTTTTTTTTTTTTTTTTTTTTTTTTTTTTTTTTTGTGATTGTAACTTCTAGATCAGGTTTATGTATTTTGCACACAATGACAGTGTGCTACTGTTCAGGCTATCTTGTTTCCCTTTACAAGACAAGTGCAAATTTATGGTAGTTGTTATTGTTGTATTTTGGCCACATTGCCAGCTCTATAATATCTTAATACTAAATATTACAGAAATATGATCTTGCTATTAATTGGCTATTGCAATATTATAAATTCTTTTTTTTTTTCAAATTATTGCAAGCCTATACAAATTTTATAAAATAAGCTTTATAAGGAGCAGAAAACAAAAACAAATATTCTTAAAACAAGAGGATTTTTCATTAGGTAATAAAAAGATGGAAGCCTATAAATTTTTGCACATATAATGCAAAATGGAACAAAAATTGTCTAAGACACCTATAAACAACAACAACAACAACCTAATTGTTTAAGGGACGTACAAGCAAAATATAATTAAATTATGTCTAAATTTTTTTCCACCAGTACATCAGACAACCCATGTTGCAACAAAGTAAATAGGGAATACGATTTCTTTATGTTTCCAATCACCATTGTCCATTTCAAGCTTTTTCTTCAACTCCAACTAATCCCCTTTAAATGAACCAAAATTAGCAGCAAACTCCTCGCTCAAGGATTCTATCTTCTCCCCCGTCTCATGCTTGGTCACAGCGACTACAGCAACTCTGACACATTCTTTTGATATTAGCAATGTCATTCCTCAACTTTAACTTCCCATAATCAGCCGTTCCAATTGCATTTTTCTCTACCCAACAAACTCCTATGCTGAAGCCATGAGTTTCTAGTTGTTGCAGTTCGAAACCTCATCATGCTATGCCACAAAATCACAAGTCTATCCTAGAAAAAGACACAAAAAAAGGTATTTTATGAGAATCTTATATAAAGACAGACAGAAGCACAAAAAAGGCAAAATTACCTTAATGTCGAAGCATTTATGTAACACATGACCTGGTTACTCTAGACTGTTGGATATAAAACTTTCATAGGATCTCCCACGAAGACAGAGAATGATGCATTTCTTTTTGCTTCGGTTTGCTCCATTAGACGATGATGTGATGATAGAGTTTTCGAACTAAAAGAGAGGAATATTGTATTGTAAGAGAAATTATTATTTTCAGGGTTAGTGAGGATGAGGTTTGTGCTTGCTGATAGACGGAGAAGAATACAATTAAGGGTCTTAAGAGGAAATTAATTGGTGAAACGACAACGTTTTTTATCTGGGCTGCAGGTAACAGTAACTCTTCGATACAACATCGTTTTGAAGGACAACAAGTCTTAATTAATGCTTCACGCCCATTTGTTGCTATATTTGCACACTCTGTCAAAGTTGTCCAAAATAGAGCGCGTGTGATGCACTAACAGAGAGAGGGAAAAATTTTTTTATGAGTAACATTTTCTTGATTTTATTGATTTTAATGTAGCTCAGTGGTAATTTGGTTTTGTTATGGTCTTGAACAACCAAGGTTCGAATGGTCATGCCCCATTTTCATTTTTCAAATATTTGTTGGAGTTTCCTACATAGATATATTAATTCCATATTCAAGTTTTTATTTATGATAATATATATTTCTTTATTAAAGTTTTGTATTATAAATCGATAGAATTTAAGGTATAATAAATTTTTATAGCATTCTTGCAAAGTTCATAATAAACCAAATTATAAACCATTAGTTAAATCATATTAAAAATAAATTTAAATCATATCTTTATTTTAAAAGTACCACTGAATAACTAAAGTCAAAAAAATAACAATATACATTTATTGGTTGACTTTTCTAATCTCTATTAATAATATTTAGAATTTGAAAAAAAAATTTTGTTGAATTCAATTTGACCTTTAATTATAGGTAAATTACTTATGGGAGGGATATAACGAATTCTATAAGAATATTAATTTCATATTCAAAAAGGATTTTAGATACTCATAATTAAATAAATGAATAAGATATAAATGTAAATATAAAAATGAAAATGAATACAAATACAAAGTAAATCGTATTTGTTTGCATACACTATCATTTTCACCTTGAAATGTAAATTAATAGATGACACTTCTCAAAATTTTTGAATTTTCAGTCTTAAATTGCGATGTATTTATGAAAATATATATTTCTTTATTATTTTTATTTTTTCATGATTATAATAATGATTACTATCCATCAGTTGCATCATAATAACAAATCGTTAGATACCTTGTTAAAAACAAGTTGTCTATTTAGTACGACTTGTTTTCTAACTTAATATGTGTTAGACGATAAATCAAGTATTTTATTTTTGCCCCTCTAAATAAAATTCACTTGTGTGATGCACGGAAATAGTTAGAGGGTGCAATAGGATAAAGTGGGATTTTCCATTTAATTGATTTAGAATACATACAAAATATATAATTTTGCCATTGTTTTAATTGAGGTTGGGGTTTGCACTCAGGTGGCTTTCGTGGTCTGCCCCATTTTCAATTTTCATTTGATGGGTTTTCTATATTATTAATTCTATTCGTTTTTTTTGTTATTTCTTATTTTTATAAGTTTGTATTATAAATCGGATAGAATTTAAGGTATAAATAAATTTTAATAGGCATTCTTGCAAAGTTCAATAAATAAACCAAAATTAATAAACGCATTAGTTAAATCTATTAAAAAATAATTAAATCATATCTTTAATTTTAAAGTACCACTGAAATAACTTAAGTCAAAAAAAATATAACATATACATTTAATTGGTTGACTTTTCTAATACTTCTATTAATATATTTAGAATTTGAAAAAAAAAATTTTGGTTGAAGTTCAAGTCTGTGTTAGCGCATATTAGCATTGAGCTAAATGTCTGGTGAACCCTATATCCTCTACATGGTGTTATGGAAGACGAATCTCAATAGCACAATTCACAAAACCATACTTAATGACAGAGAGCTAATTCCAGATTCTACATAGAAAAATATGCTGAATAATCAAATCTGATGAGCTAACATGAAGATGTCATACACTGTACAATGTTGAAGCATAAGAATATAAAAATGGTATCTATATATATATATCTAGGATGTATAAGGTTATAACACTCGAATCAACATAATACATCTATAACGAGGATGCGCGAGTTATTGTTGTTGTGACACACACTAGGTTCCATCAAACCTTGTCCATGTTGGGCTATCATCATTTTGCATCCTTGTGAAGGTATAATAGTAAAATTAATGATGACTCTATGCGCTTCGGGGAACAAGGACCAAGGAGTCCATGTCCACCTCTAAAGAATTCTCTTTTGTAGATGTTCTTCGAGAGGGCTACCTATAAATAGAAGCTGATTTCACCATATACATATATATTCGACTATCATACTCTCATTATTCTGAGCTTTCTTCTCACTAATCAATAAATGCTTTAGTTCCAGAGGGCATATATTCAGTGATCTATACCACAGTAGAGGCGAGTGGTATATGATGCGACGAGTCGGTCGAGCTATGCATCATAGCAGCTCAAGGACAAATCGTTAGCACTACCCTGTATTGTGGATAAGTATAAACACAGAGTCCACTGTCTCCATCCAGTCAGTGAACCGCCACTTGAATTCTCACATCTATAACTCACGTCGTGTTAAAGCATACCCGATTAAGAAATACAAAACTATTATCAGTCACTCTTGTAGCAGTCTAATGGCTCTGCGATCCATCTCTAAGCAAACTAACAATTCAGACGCCTCTTCTGGTCATGCCTGACTTGGTAAATCTAGTTAGGGTGCAAATAGAGGAATTATAATGTGGGATTGTCAAGTACTCAGCGATGCTTCATATGGTGAATTTAAGATACTAAACGAGTGACAAAATGAGTTAGTTAGAGTTAGCTTGTGCCAAGGTGTATGAGCTTAGTATGGTAGTATATCTAGGGTACATATTAATAGGTGGATTATCACTTTAGGAGGGTACTGGTATAAGTTAACATAGTACAAAATGATTAGACTATCCTTACATATAGAGTAGTTTTATCATATGGGTATGGGAATGTAGAGTAGGCCTAGTGTTTAAGATAGGTTTGAGTTGTAATTAGAGGTATAGGTATTTGGACTTAGACCACTTTTGTGCATGTAGGAGGTTGGTATGACCAACACCTATCTAATGTATGTTAGGGTAGAAACTGATATGAGTTAAGGTGTTATGTTGTCCATAATTCACGCATAGATAGGACCCAATGTTCCAATGGGTATTGTATGAGAAAGGTCATTATATATATTGGAATGGTGCCATTTTATATTTTTGTTATTAATATATATATTTGTCCTAATCCACCTATTAGGAAATGTAATATATTTTTCATATTAGCATAGGTGTTCCTTTTTAGGGAAAGCATCCGTGGGATTTACTAAAGCATTGGATAAAATATGGCTCTAAAAAAAACTAACGCAACATGAAACCATGATATGGGCGTCTCATATTGCTCTTCTCAGGTCCGCGTCAATTCTCTTTCTCTCTGTCTTTCTCTGATTCTCTCCCTTCTCTTGCTCCGAGAAACATGAAAGATTCTGACAAGCGAAAATCCCAGCAGAAAAATCTCTATTACAACAAAAATATGCTTGAATGTTTGGCAATTTTTCAGCTTCATAATTGCCTCTTGGATCATACTTTTAGCTGAATTTCTTTCTTCTGATTAAAAAGGAAAAATAAAAGAACTTCTAGGCTTTGTGTTGAATTTCTTTTCTTCCTTAGAGAAGAACACATTGTGTTTGTTTTTATGTTATAGGTGACAATTTTGAACAGCATTATTACATTCTGATCAGATAATGAGAAGCGTAATAAGCGAATGGGGTAGTGGTGATTTAAGGGGCAATGGAATTGAGAAAAGCTTGCTATGCTTTTGTGTTGGTGATTCTGCTTTGTGCTTTGAACATTGGGAGTAAAATGAGGAGGAGAGAGGAAATGATTTACGGCAATGGCTGTCTTCAGGGAGACAAACAAATTGTACGTATATTCTTCTACCTCTGTCTTTTTTTTTTTTTTTTTTTTTGGGGTGAGGGGTGAGTTAACAGTGGCAATTGGATAGGGCACTGAATTAAGAAGAGCCACATATTTGGAGCGTAATGTTCTGTTGTGTGCTCTGTCGGCACTCAAATCAACGCAGACTTTTTGTTGGGCTTAGGTGAGACCATAAGAGTGTGAAGTAACACATACTGGAGGACGGCTATGTAGTAGAGACCAAATAGATTGTTAGACGGGCCAAAATGGCCGAGTCTCCTTCGAGGACCGACAAAATCAAATTGTACGTATTATATTCTTGCTAAATCCTCTGTCTTTTTTTTTTTTTTTTCTTTTTTCTTAAATTTTTTTTGCTGTATCGCGGAATATATTTGAGGTATATATGGTTTCTTTGGGAGAATCCTACTGTGGCCAAATATGTAATTTCCCCAACATGTGTCTCAGACACATAAAATGTATATTGTCAGTCTAGCTTTTCTGAGAGAGATATAAAATGGAATGTTTATTTTTTGAGAGATAGGTCATGGTATGTAATCGTGGAGTAAGTCTTTCACAACATCTACTGTACTATATTTTATTCTATTTATATGGAATGTTATTACAGTTGCTATCTATTAGGCCGTTGACAAATACAGTCGGCTCTAATGATGAAATTGTTGCATAATGATGGTGTAACATATACAGAGCTATTGTTGTAAATACGAGAGGAGAAGCAAAATTTTAAGAGCAATTATATTATTATTAAATGGATCTTCTTGTATATTTCTATTTGAGCATATTTTTATTAACACGAGAGATTGAGGAGGAAATACCAATATATCACCGAATCAATGGTGTCTGAACATCTACCACATGTAAAAGTTTTGAGCCGTGGGCATATTTCGATTGCAGTGACAGTCCATACGTCGATTGGCGTTTTCATATCTGGTCTCCGAAGGATCCAACCCCCACCCATAAAGGACTTAGGGATGAGATATTTGCGGCCATATACCAAGGGAGGATATTAAAACAGAAGAATATTTCTTGCACGTGTCTTTTTTTTTGTGTTGTCTGTCCGTTTGATAAACATCGAACAGTAAAATACTAATTATGTAATGACTTGACCGGATCAGCTCGCGGAGATACTAGTATGGAACTATCTCTTAATAGAAAACGAGAACTGCACGCAATAGCTTTATTGAAACCTAGAGAAGATGGAGGAAGGCACAATATCCAATAATTTGAAATTCATCCTAGTGCATTACTTAGACATATGACAGATAAATGAAAGACTTGTGTCTCTGAATGGAGTGATAGTCTAAGATAAACCTCGAGGAGCCAAATTTCTATAAATGATGGTCTATAACTGGGTCTAAATAATGTATACAATATTAGGTCCAAGACTCTCTCTGATCCATAAGTGCATTCATTGTAAATGACACATCAATAATTCTTATTCCCTGCTGAAAGAGAGAGTAAGTTCTATTGTGTCAGCCAATATGTCCATTACATTACAATCTATAATAGCATGATCTATAAATATATGAAAGTAGTCTTTAGCCATCTGGTCTTATCTAATAAGGAATGGCAGGTATAGTTTATTAGCACTAAAACATATTGAGTGTAGTGTCAAAAATAGTAAAGATCAAAAGCACTACCGAAGTCTACTATTAAATTCCACGTAGGCCATTCAAAAGTTCACAGCGTGAGTTACCACGCCAAAGGCACTCGTGAAATCGCTCTCTCCCCAAACGAATTCAATGGCAATTAAAGTTGAATATTTGGCTCACATGCTGACACACGGGCGAGAATATATGCAACGTTCAATGCGACTTCTATGCAGAAACCGCGAACACAACCAGCTTTAGTATTATTATTTTAGAGGAGTAAATTTGAGCACTATGCGAAGAAAACACTCCTAAGTCGATCTTTGCCACGAATGGTTTTAAGTAACCTGACCCACCCACATTATTGTATAATGCCTCACAACTGTTAAGGAAGGAGAATGAATCGAGCTATGGGTCTCATTCGAACTCTCGAATGGTAAGACAGATATTCCAGCCTGTAAGACATAATAACTACTTTATTGCCGAGTATGTGAACTACACTAAAACAATGCCATGTTTGCAGCGTACAATTGATGCGAATTCGAGGAACCAATGAAGATAGGAGTTTCCATAGTGAAATTAATCTTGGAACACTTGCATACGCTGTTTCTTACACAGGTTGGAGTTATATATTTCTCGAGAGAAATAGTCACACTAAGCCGTACTGGCCTAAGTTTAGAAATGGAAGTACTAACAAAAGATCAAACGAATTCGAAATTTAGGGTGGTCGACAAATACCAATTTTTGAGAGAGGCGTCCTGTTGAGAGAGCGATGGGAATGAAGACATCTTTGAGTATATGCATGAGTCTGAGTGTAGAATATTTGGCTTTGCTCGACTAGTCATAACTTGACTTAAGGTATTCGTTGCCTATGAACAAATTGATTGATTTTTAGGCAATTTGATGCCAAAAATGTTTGATTTTAAGGCTTTTAGCCAAAAAGATTTGATTTGGCAATTGTTGCCAAAAATTGATGTGATTTAGGCAATTTATTCAAAAAATCTCTGAGAGTTAGTTTGGATTGAAAACACGATTGTCGCCAAATTGAGTGAGTGAGATTAAGCGCAAGGGTTAGTAGTGACCAATAGTGTGGAGTGACTTTGGAAGGCCTCATTAGTCCTGAAAAAGGATTAAGGGGCTATATAATGTTTGACAGATGGAGAGTCGAGGATTTATTGAAAGCATCTGTTTTGAAGGTTTTGACTTACATTTGGCCTCAGGAAAGCAACTACCCACATTGAAATCAACATAACGTTCATGAAGCGCGATCACTTGTCGCGGCCCACAATGACTTGCACAATCTTGAGGAGGACACACAAGATAATCTTTATGTTTTTTTTTTTTTTTTTTGTTGATAAACATCAAGAATTTTGTTTAGCTCTGGAGAAGAAAATCTTTAATAGAAAAGGAGCATACTTATACTGTATGAAGCCTATTTAATCCTGTCATTCCTTAATGACTTTGAAAGACTGTGTTTGAGATGATATTTCCGGCATCTAAAGTGCTTAATGGCTAAAGTACTATTCTTTTTGTCCTATGGGACTATGCATCAATTTCTTGGAAGATGAAGTTCTATTGTGTCAGGCAATTGTATATTCTTGTCAATAATGAAAGTGTCCTTTAGCATCTGGTTTCTAATGATATGCAATATTGAGTTGAAAATAGAAAGGACAAGCACTACCAGCATTTAGAAGTAGGCCATTCAAAATTCACTTACAGATGGCATCATGCTTCTTTCGTTTTTAGTTAATTTGGTCCCAACTGGGATTCAAACTCTCAAACTCACAACCCTGAAACAACTATATTAGAATTGAGTCAAGACCCATTTGCAGGGTTTCGTGCCTTTGATGCTACCAAGGAGATGAATCATGGTTCATTTTTACATTTAGTTAAAAATGCCTTTTCTCATGTGTTATCCTGTCAATGCTTGATATGTAGACAATATAATGAATTGGTTCTTCAATGTTTTTTCCGAATAAAGCTTTTGCCTAATAAAATCAACAAAACCATGATAACTGTGTCGACAAATACCAATGACTGAAACTCTGTGACACTTGTATTGAATCTAGGAAATTGGTTTCCATGTCAACACTTATTCGTTACCTCCAGAATTTGATGAAACATTGTAACTACAGGTAGAACTGGCATGCATCCATTGCAAGAAAGTATTGGTGGACAGGAAAGATTGTTTTGAAGGTTTTGACTTACATTTGCCTCAGGAAGCAACTACCAACTTGAAATCAACATACGTTCATGAAGCTATCACTCTCCCATTCCAACTGAAACAAGAACTTCTGGATTGCTTGAGGAAGAAGAATTTAATCTTTTGTGTTTCTGCCCAAGGGGATAGCCCCACAAGTTGGTTCATCCAGTGCTCTGAGTTACTTTTTGGTTGGCCAAGTGCTTCTAGAAGATATTTGGATGGTGAGTCTTATGGAAAGACAGAACCAAGCTCTTCTAAATTTGTGGTTCGAGAATCTGCAGCAGCATCAGCACTATCCAATTCAGCAGCTACCAGTTCTCCATCGCAAAATCAGCTGGCTCATCCATTCTTTGAAATGAAGTTAAATCAACAACAAGATGTGAATAATTTATCTCCACTAAGGCCACATGCTCGTAAACTTCGTAAACGTCGGAAGAAACGTAACATTCAAAAGGATCTTTTAATAGCTGTTATTGCAACTTCATTAACAACCTTTTGTTTGGTTGCTGCACTCTTCATATGCTGGTTATGTATGAGGCACAAAAACAAGAAAATTGCACCTTCAGATGAAAAAAGAGATGAGAAGCCTCTCCTCCACTTAAGTGATTTATCAGCTAGTACGGAATTTTTTGAAGTGTTTTTTCATTGATCCATGATTAATATTATTTTCTAATTATGTTGATAATTGAATTAACACAACTTTTCAGGTCCTTCACAGAATTCTTCTGCTTTAGAAAATTCCCAAAGCAAAGTGCAAAGTCCATGTTCTAATGGCAAAACGACTACTAATTTTGAGACCAATCCACCTGTGAAGAATGTGAATCCTGCTTCCTCACTGCTTGAGTTGCCATCAGTGGAAGTCAATCCAGGAGGAGCACTTCCTCCTCTAAAACCTCCTCCTGGGAGACCATTGTCTATGAAACCAGCAGCTCCTGAAATTCCAGCTCCTGAAAAACCAACTCCTGAAAAACTAACCCCTGAAAAACCAGCTCCACCAGCTCCTCCACCTAATGGACCACCAGCACCTCCTCCTCCCTCTGCTGGTCCTCGAGCTCCACCACCGCCTCCTCCAAAAGGCGGTCGTGCTCCACCTGCTCCTCCACCAAAGGGAAAGCCTGTACCTCCCGGACAACGTCGTGGACCTAGTGATTCCTCTGATAAAGATAATCCTTCGGGTTCATCTGGACCTTCAAAGACCAGGTTGAAGCCATTCTTTTGGGATAAGGTTATGGCTAGCCCTGATCAATCAATGGTCTGGCATGAGATCAGTTCTGGATCATTCCAGTAAGCCTACAATCTAAGTCTGATGGAATTTCAAATTACCTTAAAGTCACGCTTTATTATATAGCTTTTAAACACTTAAAATTTGCAGGTTCAATGAGGAGATGATAGAGTCATTGTTTGGTTATCAGGCTGCTGTTAGAAGCAAAAGTGATCGGAAAAAAGATTCATCTGAATCTTCAATCCAGTATATACAGATAATTGATGCCAGGAAAGCACAAAATTTATCAATTCTTCTAAAAGCATTAAATGTGACTTCAGTCGAAGTCCTTGATGCTCTAAGAGAAGGTGACTTTCTATATCTCATTAGTCTCCTCTATGAAATAAATTCATAACTGATTAAGTCACGTGATCAAATAAATAATAGACTTTTTCATTTTTTTAAAATATATCTAATATTATGATATTGTCATCTTCCAATCTTCCTTTTCCCCTTCGTTTCTTTTCTTTCCTGTTCTTTTTCTTTGTGGGGCTTGACAGAGGAGTGCGGGTTAATGGACTTTAGAGAACAGGAATGAGTTCCATCTTCTTGCTAACGGTTTCTTCCTTGACTTTTCTCTCTCCTTACTTCTTAAATTAGTTTGCCCGAGTTGTTTTCATTTTGAAAAATGCCCACCATTGATATCTCCTTAGCTAATGGGTAACAACAAAACTGCTGCTCATCATATATTATTCTACTAGGTAGTCCAATCAAGCCAAAAAATATGTTGAAGATAAAGAGTTGAAGTGATAGGAATATGATAATTCATTACACAAAAATCTTTGGATGGTCAACTAATAATCTCATTGCCCCTTTCATCCTGGTCAAGTTGGCAGACCAGTATGTATTTGCATGGATATAGTGATAGGATTATTGTCAACTAATGATGAAAAAAGGTTTGTTTATCACGTATCTAGGATGAACTAATTTGTAATTAATATAACATCATCTTAAGCCAAACCCTTAAACCTAATAATTTTGTCTTGTATAACAATGTATCAGAGGGAAATATAGTTGTCGCTTACCATAGTTTTTCTATATGGTATCAGAGCATAAAAGCTAATTAATAGCTTGCATCAGTTGTTGTTTTTGTTTATTGTCATTACACTAGGATTTTGAACCTCGAGGTGGCCTTATGTCCTTGCCTATGAATTAGGTACTGAACTTCCAGTCGAGCTCGTCCAAACTTTACTGAAGATGGCACCAACACAAGAAGAGGAATTGAAACTTAGATTATTTGCGGGTGATCTTAATCAACTGGGTCCTGCAGAGCGTTTCCTGAAAATCGTGGTTGAGATCCCATTTGCTTTTAAACGAATGGAGTGTTTGGTGTTCATGACTTGTTTTCAAGAAGAACTATCAACACTCAAGGAGTCCTTTTCAAGTCTTGAGGTGAGGATTAGATATATGTATATATAGATTGCCATTGAATTTTAATCCTGACAAGTCTTTCACCAATTCAAGGGTCAGGGCCTGGCATAATGCCCTAATGTTCATGCTAGGGAGTTGTGTTCTTAGATATAGTTTTCTTGTCTGAGATCCTAATTCAATTTATTTAGGTCTTGGTTTAAACTTTTGTGGTTATATAATTATCTCCCATTTTGAGTGACAGGTGGCTTGTGACAAACTCAGAAACAGCAGGTTATTCCTAAAACTATTAGAAGCAGTTCTCAAAACTGGTAACCGTATGAATGTCGGTACATACCGCGGTGGTGCGCAGGCCTTTAAGCTTGACACACTCTTGAAACTATCTGATGTTAAAGGAGTCGATGGCAAGACTACACTCTTGCACTTTGTTGTTCAGGAGATTATCCGTTCTGAAGGCATACGTGCTGTCCGCACAGCAAGAGCTAGTCAGAGTAGTCCAGGTGTAAAGTCGGAGGATTTGATGGAGGATTCTAATCAGGAATCAGAACACTATCGCAACCTTGGTCTTAAAGTGGTTTCTGGCTTAAGCACTGAACTAGAAGATGTAAGGAAGGCAGCAGCTGTAGATGCTGATGTCCTAACATCTACAGTGTCCAAACTTGTGCAATCTCTGGCAAAATCTAAGGCATTTCTAGGTAATGAGATGAAGAGTTTGGATGAAGATAGTAAATTCTACCATACTGTGGCTACTTTTCTGGATAATGCAGACTCTGAAGTCTCATGGGTTTCAAAAGAAGAAAAGAGGATAATGGCTCTGGTACAAAACACAGCAGATTATTTTCATGGAAATGCTGCAAAGAATGAAGGTTTGCGTTTGTTCACAATTGTACGTGATTTCTTAGTGATGTTAGATAAGGCATGTAAGGATGTCAAAGATGATCGAGCAGCAATGCCTATGAAAACAACTAAGAAGGAGACTCCAGCATTGTCAGATTCGCCTGAAAATCGCCAGCAATCTGATGTTCGTCGCGAGAAATTGTTTCCTGCTATTGCAGGAAAGCGATGTGATTATTCCAGTTCAGATGATGAGAGCCCATCTCCTTAGCTTTTATTCAAATTGGTATGGAAATATTTTGACTTGGAAGCATTCTTCTTTACTCTTTTGGTTTACTTTTGCCTAGATGCAAGGAATTTTCATTTGATGATCAACATACCTATGGAAATCAATTATTTATAATGGCTATGGAAATCAATGTTGCTAAAGTTTCTTCATGCATGTCTTGTATGTAGGAAGTAAAAATTTGCTCAAATTTTTAGAAATCCAATAAATTTTAACATTTACCTTTGTTTCAGTGATCTTTAATGTCCTCTTTTTCAGGTGGCTGGCTCAGATATGCTGGAGGCTTGATGACTTTTGTACATATTGTGCAGATAAATTGTACTTTTTGTGCAGATAATTTGCACATTAACTTTGTATATGGCAACAAATGAGCTTTTCATTCTTAAAAATCCTCTAAATGCTTAAAATTTGAAGGTTACGTTATTATAGAGAGAGGATTAACTCAGAGGTGATGACTTTGTATTGGCATTTTTCTACTAGAAGCCATAAAGATTTCTGTTGTACAGTTTCATAGTCATCTGATAAACATATTGTATTGGCATTTTTCTACTAGAAGCCATAAAGATTTCTGTTGTACAGTTTCATAGTCATCTGATAAACATACCACTCCAGTTTTTGACTTCTTTTTTTTTTTTAAATATTGAACCATATGCATTTTAATTCATAGTGTGAGCATAATTATGTCTCTTACGAGGTTAAACCTCTTGATGAATTGGAGGAGTTGATGTGTTTTGATCTTCAGTAATTTAATATGGGTTTATACATTGTTTGGATCTTTCACATATTAATGAAGAAGCCAGTGAATTCTAGATTATACTGTATATTTAGTCATGCCGTTGAATAGCAGGTTTTCAATGTTCTGAATCCATTAATGGATTAGCCAGTGAATTCTAGATTATACTGTATATACTTCTGAATCCATAATTACCATGCATTAGCAGGTTTTCAACGTTCTGTTCATCCTTTCAGGTTTCAGTGTATATAGTCATCCTTTCAGTCAATTGTTTTTGCATTTTCAGTTGTTTTTTGTCTTGGATCCTCTGAAACTGCTCTTGGCATCTTGAAATGAGGTAATATTCTTTACTATACCTTTCTTTTTATGTTTTTCTTTATTTTTATCAAAAAATTTTCGTATATATATATATATATATATATATATATGTTAGCGTATAAATCATATATATATATATATATATATATGTTAAGCGTATAAATCAGTCAAGTTACTTGCGCTACTTGAGCTTGATTATCAAAATATTTGAATTGGATTTGGTTTTGATTGCCAAGTTCAAACTTGAGTTGCTAAACCCGAGTCTCGCTGAGTTCAAATATTACATATACTCTGTAGTTGAGTATCAAAGTAGATTGAACTTCAATTGTGTTTTAAGCCTCAAGTTATTTTAATGGAGTCAAAATCGAGTAGTATATTTTACCGACTCGACTTGGATTGATTATATAGCTTGCTATATTATTGTTATTTGGAGTGTAAAGCAGTAGCAAACTGAAGAACTTCCATTTTTGAAGCTTCACTGATCAAGAACTTTGCAGCTATCAGGTTCATCATGTGTAACCCTGAAGGCTGAAGCAGGTCCATTTTGTTCACTATAAAGAAAGCTAAGGTATTACAGCTTCTCTTTGGCCACGGGTATATGGCATGGAAATTCCATATGATATGAGACATATATTGTACTTGGAATAAATTCATTTTATTTGTAAATTATTAAAAAGTTTCAATTATAAATGAATTTTCATATTTTAAGATTTGTAATTAAAAATTCATTATTTTTAGTAATTTACAAGCAGGAGTTCCTCTTGCTTAGCGTGAGGCATCATTAGCAATTTTTTTTATATTTTTTCTTATTGTTATATATATATTTTTTCAATAGTGTCTCATATTATTAATTAAAAGTCCTATTTAATTGAGAATTTTATGATGATTTTTTATTTGGTAAATAATTTTTAATTTTGTTGACATATTTCAATAAATACTTTGATTTTTACTATTTAATTGAAGATAATTCAAATATTTTTGCTCTATTGAATGAGCCATCCAATATTTCTTGTGTTTTTGTTTAAAAATTAGCAAATTAGGTTTCTCTTGCTATTGCACGATGGTCAGTTTGAATGTCTGATTTTCAATCAGGATATACTCTTCTTTCTTATATGAAGCATTATCTTTTGATTCTAATAATATGAGCCGATTATGTTCTTCATTTTCAAAAAAAAAAAAAAAAAAAAAAAAAAAAAAAAAAAAAAAAAGAAAAATTGAAGATTAATATTAGTATTTATTTTTAAAAAATTAAAAATTAGAGATATGTTTTCAACACTTCACGACACTGCAAGTAAGCACTTGAATAATTGAATACAAATGATAAATTCGTAAATATTTATGAATTTTTAGAAATTTTTTTATGTAGTAGATACAAATTTTATACTGCTAAGATTAGAATATCTATGAAAATGTAGCTATAAACATCTCAACTTTCAAGCAAATAAATATTATACTAATATTTTTATTTTTTGAAGAATAAAAATGTCACGATCCGATTCCATGGGCCGGACCGGCACTAGGGCCCAGGTAAGCTTAAGGCCCCCGAGGTCCGTAGTAAGCCTGAAACACTTTGAAACACTAAAATTGCTATCTCAATATAAAATTTCAAAAAATTTCAGCCCATATTAGTAAAAAAAAAATTAAACCTCAAGATTTTAGATTTTATTACATCTCGGCCCAAATTTATCTTCTACAAAATTCCACAGTTCGGGCCAATTTACAATACATCACATTTCTAATATGGGCTCACAGGATCATTTCGTCTACGATGATACACGACTAAATGTAAGTAAATTCAACAACTGCGGAGTCACTAACTATTTGGTATACGTAGCTTTTTATACATATAATTACATAGTAAAATAATTATAGAACTAGAAAAATTTCTTTATAGCCCTGCGGCGAAGAAATATAGCTTATACAGAATCAAAGAGAAACTTTTTCCTGAAAAATTAAACAAGACATGTGAGTTTTCTAAGGAGTGATAATTATTGCAACACACGCAGTCACACAAATGTGTAAACATATCAATCTAGTCATCCGACTAGTTATATGCTCACGCAGCCAGTCACACAAATGGCACATCACAGCACTCACAATCATTAACATCTTCATATAATCACATCACGTGGAAATTAGTCAGTGGAGTCACCGAACCCCCGATGAGCCGTCCTCCCACATATGGAGCCGGTCCTCCCACATGACTCATTCCTCTCACATGTGCCACCAGGGAGCCGATCCCCCATACTGGCCGACCGGTCTTAATTCCTCACTTGACCAGCTCTTCTCATTATTTTTCTATCCTCTCTTCTTTGTCATTACCAAACAGGAGCAACCCGCTTGGTCTTCTCCATCCAATCTAGCATCATCAAGCGCTCACAACAGGAGGCCACCCTGCGGGCTTTTCGATCAATCTAGACAGTCCGGTGCCGCAACGACGAGAAGCCAACCCGTGCGTTAACGGTAGTGTGCATTACGGGGGCGCCGATCTCCCATTACCTGGCTAACAGAAACAGAATCAGGATCTAATATAACAGAATCAGAATATAACAGAAATTCAGAATCAGGATCGTTTATAACAGGGAAACAGTCTCACAAACCCATGGTGACCCACTTCATTCCCCAAACTCCCACACAAATAAAAAGCATAACATAAACACAACACAATTAAGCAAACATTGCAATTAAGTGTTGCAAGACATATTGATCAGTAAACATCGTAATGCAATGCACAATTAGACATCCAAAAAATTCAAATGCAAATAAATAATGAATAGTGTTTAACAATAAACAAACAATAATAAAATAAATTAATAATAATACATAATAATAATAAACAATAATAATGAAAATAAATAAATAAATAATGGAATACTTAAATGAATAATAATGAAAATAAATAAATAGTTAGAGTACTTCATTTATTATGTATCAAATTATAGAATTTATCTAAATAAACTTATTAATTATACTGTTAATTAAAACTAGTCTAAGTTCTATCGAAATTTCGGCAGCACCTCCCCTAAAAATTGAACTATCTGCCAGCTCAAATATCAGCAATATTATATCCATCAACCATTACACACACAGCCCATCCATCGGGCAATCAAACAAATTAATTTCCCTTCCTCTATATCAAGTAATTGTATAAATATTTAATCACAATACAAAACTTTAACTATTAACAATCCAAGCTTCAAGCATCACCATTGGTTATTTACTACTTGCAAAAAAATATCCTTAGCTTTGCTATCATGGATCACACCAACTAACTAATTTCACGCAAGAATTGGATTTACAACCTTAATTGTACCATGTCAAACAATAATCAATAGAAATAATTGAAAATAGCTACTGTTTTTTACTAGAAATTTCTTAGTACTCATAAAACTTTGTCATTAATACCTTTACACTCACAACAAATTATGAAGGGCACATTCGTTCCATCAACATAAACATGGTTCAAGCAAAAATCCGTTATTTCCGCTAGCTAAGGCTGTCACTTATCAAAGAAACCTTATAATCTTCTTTAGTTAGAGGGCTGCACTTTAAAGTTTCAATACTCAATTCTAATCTAAAACTACATGAATCACTTCAAAACACTCACTAGAATGTGTTTTAGTTATAGTTAGTAAATAAAATCAAACCTTTTCCTAAAATTTGCATAAATAGAATATATAGGGATTTAATCCTTACTCTAGCTTGACTAATACATGAAATTCCATATCCTAGCACAAAGAATTCACAAAACATGCAAAAAGGAAGTTAAAGATGAACTTACCTAACTGTAAAACGAGCTGAAAATTGGAATTTTTCGGTTAAAATGACCGAAATTTGCTCTACTACCCAAGATCTGATTCTGCTGGCATTAGCTTGGCTAGAGCTGTTAGCTTGGCTAGAGCTGGAGTGGATCGCGGTCAGTGAGGTCGCTAGAGGGAATGGAAGAGCTCAACCGGCCGATCCTTGGCTGGTTTCACTGGAGGAGCAGAGAAACGATGAGTCGACTGTCCCAAATGCAGCAAATCGCGATCGTAGCTCATCGTTTCGTTTTGTGCGCCAACCTGGACACAGAAGAGAGAATGCGAGAAAGGAAGAGACCGAAGCTTCATCGCTGTCGCGGTATTGGGAGTCGCTAGAAAATCGAGAGCTGCGACGTGATTTCCGATGACGAATCGCAGGTTTCCCTGCGATAGCTGCGCTTCGCCAAAGACGAAAGGAGAGAGAGAGAGAGAGAGAGTAGAGAGATGAAGAAGAGAGAGATCGGAGCTACTGCAATTGAGGAGGCCGGACGAAAAGGAAGCGGTGGCCGAGGCGCTGGTCTCTTGCCGTTGTTGCGTTCGCCATAACGCCATAAACGAAAAGGGAAAGAGAGGAGGAGAGGCCGGTGCTGCAGTGAGGCGGCGGCGTGGCAAGGATGCGCGGCGAGGAGGCGCTGGTTCTGGTGGTCGGAAAACTAGAGAGGAGAGGCAGCTA